GTACATGTTAGAATCCATTAACCAGTATTAACTCACTATTATGCACCAAAGTCTACGACTGATTTTGACAAATACAAGTGATGTATCCATGTTACAATACTATGCAGAATTTTTGACTGGGGGTTTGAAAAGAAAAATATAGATGCTTTGACCTTGTATTAAGGAATTTTATTTAACTGTGGTCGAGGTAGTAGATTGGGTATTAATGTTTTTAAAGAAATCTCCAAGTTGATGTTGTCAATAACTAGCCAGGGATATAAACTACTGACCTACTATCTCAGTTAATCGAACAGAAAATGATGGCTAATATGCAGGCAATTCACACCAAAAAATGCTTAAAATCAAAACACTGGCTGAGTTTGTAGTCCACTATTTATAATACTAGACTAGCACATTATCAGGCCCCAGCCCAGACCTATTCAATTGGAAACTCTGGGACTCAGTAATCTATGGTTTAATAAATCATCCAGACGATTCTGACACTGATCATGTTTAGAGAAGGAAATAACACTGATCTTTAAGAAAATAAAACACTATTTGTACAAATTAATGGACTACATGAACTTCAATGCTCATAACCCTGAGATCAAAAGAACTCGATGGTGCCTAGTCACCATGACAAAGTGCGCTGAAAGAGATCACAAGAGAAGGTCCCAGGTATACTGGAGTAATAACACTGGAGTATTAGTAACAATACTAGAGTAGCCTAGAGCAAAGAAAGGACAGTGAATGGAAGGACAGTACCACTTGTGTCCTTTACACAGGTAGCTTCTCCTTTTATTCAAATGTGACTGACTCAGAGTATACATTATTTAGGTCCCGAGACTGCAAAGGCAAATAGAATATAATCAGTAATCAAGAAAAAATAAACCCTCAAATATTACTGTTGTATAATACTTTTTATTAAATAGTTTTATGGGGAAGAACTCACTGCATTTCTGCATTACATTATATAATCTTCAGGCATATCAGAATCCACTGACAAATTACACTTGGAGAGAAGCTTTACAAACTATACTTGTAATGATACCCCTTGTGAAATACTGAAAAGCAGCTCTGTACCTCACAGGTAAAGGTTACAAGCAGCACCATCTGAAGGACTCTTACATATTGAATTTCTCTCAAATTACAAAGTCTTATGCCCTATTTTGACAGACAACAGAGATGCCCTCATTCAAACACATCATTATAATAACCCATTATAATAACCACCAACACCCTCCAATTTACTACAAATTCACACAAATCTCACATAAAGAGCCCAGTGCTGAGGTCAGTCAGTATCAGTAAGTTTTCAGCTGTCCTAAAATTACAAGTTAAGCAGAATAAATGTTCTGGAAAATAGGAACTAGAAAAGAAGATGATCAATATCTAATACTTAACTTGGTATCTCTTGGCTGTTTAACCTTCCTGATCTACATAATCCAAGGTGTACTCTTGTTTACCAGTCTTGCTGCAAAACCACCGTGAACTCAAGTATCACTTAGTACCAGAACAAATAAAACATCTTACATAATTTTTCATTAAATTTATTCCCTTCAATGCACAATGAGAAAAGCAAATCAAGACAAAGCTCAAATCAGAAGGCTAGTGGAATTCCACCACTAATGGACTGCATAAGTAACAACAGACTCAAGTCCCTTTTTTATTTTAAAATAGAATTGGCCTTTGTATTTCAAAAGTACTGGTTTATTGCAGAAACAACCCTTCCAACTTCAATTTTAAGAGGAGTCTAAGGAGAGACATGCCTAGATCCAGAGTTTTAAAATACTCTAACCCATCTCATGCATAATTGAAATTAGAAGTTTGTAGAAGACAGTGAGAACCTAGCTTTGAGGAAGAGCCAGAATACTGCAGGAAGAAACAATTTATCTGCTCTTAAGCCCATGACCCAAATGACTACAATGTAAGGATTTTAGAAATCTATGAGAATAGAATGTATTTCAAATACACACAAACGTAGACTATTGCATATTATTTTTAGTTGAGGTCAAAACTTTAAAGCCCTATTTTCCCAAATATGCAGGGAATACCACCATTATACTGTTTACTTCATTTATACTCCAGCTTATATAAACCCAGCCTGTAGGTTGGGTTTAATTTCTTTAAACTTAGCTTCATCTTTGCAGCATACAACATAGTACTGACATTTTTCAAATAACTGGAAGGAAGTGAGGGAAACTTCTCTTGGATTCTTCTTATAGAGTTTCTATGCCATCTGAATATACATATTAAAAAGTCAATACTTTAAGACTAGTTGTACTTTTCAGGAGTGTCAACTGCAGACATTAAATCCTACTCAACTCTAAGAGGTTAGTAAGGTAATAATCAAGGTTTGGAAGCTGTGTGCACCAATAAGATGACGTCTATTTGTTTTAGGTAATGTCTGCCATGAAACCTTAATAAAGTCCACCTGACAAATGTTGTTGAAACAGGAAATGGTAGAGAACAGTATGAGTCAAGCCAAAAATGTTTTACACCATATTCAGTTCTAAATGATATAAATGTTTTTGTTAATATACACTTCCTAGCTCACTATTCTTTCTTCCTGAAATCAAGCTGCAATTCTTTTAGGGCCAGCCCTCCTGAAAAGCTATTTTCTTACTCTTCAATGTTGACTCTATGGTCTTGATCCAAATCTACTACTGTTGAGGTGGTTCTGACTACTAATGACCTTCTACAGAGTTTCCAAAGCTATAAATCTTTACAAGAGGATATTTTCTTCCCATTGGTGGATTCAACCTGCAGATCTTATAGTTGGCAGCCTGGTATGTTATATGCTACATCACTAGGTCTCCTTTGAGCCTCCCATACTTAAAAAAGCCCAACAACAAAAAACACACCTCAATTCACTGCTGTCAAATCTGAATAGACACATTAGTGATCCTCCAAAGATTTCTCAGAGGCTGGAGCCATTGGTGGATTTGAATCAGAGAAGAGCCCTCTTTGGGTTAGGGCAAGAGCTTACCAACTAGGCACTAGAGTTCCCTAAACCACACTAGCCCCCTAAAAAGGACTTAATTCTTTTTCCCCATTCTCTTTACTCACTTTTAAAACCTACCCTCTGCTCCTATACAAAGTAAAACTATCTTTTTAAAAAACCCACAAGCAAGAATTAATGTGTTGTACTCTTCCTTCCTCCCTTCCAGAACAGTTTCTGTGGGGACAGACCAAGAGCGTGACAGGAGATGGGTTTACAGTATAGAGAAGGAACAGTGCATTATCCTGTTCCCCTCACCCACCTTCTTCCATACTAGCTGGATGGCTCCCATTTCACAGCTAGCTGACAGAGCACCTCACAACTTGGACAGTGACACCCTCTGCACATTTCTGGAGTAGAAGGACCTGAAGGACACCAGCACCAAACCCTACTGCCACTGGATCCTGACTCAGGTCACAGATGCCTCTGACCTGAAAGAAATTAAGGGCTCTCTTTTCCTGTCCCACTCTACTGATAAACCTGTGTGGAGTACAAGTTTTAATATATGAACACACAAACAGGTATATTTCAGGTTTATTCCTGTAAACCCTGTTTACAGGAAATCTGAGTCTAACAAAATCCTTACATAACAACTAAGATTTTGATTTCTCATAAAAGCCCACTTATTTAATGGCTACTAGATAAAAAAAGTCTAAGATAACTGAAGACGATTTTAAAACCTGAGAACTGGTTATAATAGACCTGGATTTTTAAGATGGCACATCACTCACAAAGTGGCTAAGACCATAAAAAGCTCTTCACAAAAGCTTTCTACTGCAGAAGGTAGACCTGAATGATAAAGCAGTTTTTACTCTTAGCAATCAACCAACTAAGCATCTACTTTTTTGCAATCTCAGCCAAACCACCCACACCCACAACCCTGCTGCCTCACTTACAGGATTCAGAGGTCTCTGGACAACTGGGAGCCAGCTTTGCACTGGGACTGTAGGAGGTAGCTGAACTGACCTGTGAGTGCCCTCTCATTGTGGCTCATCTGGCTGGGCTCAGCAAGTCAGGGAGTCTTTCTCAACAGTTGGCCCCCTTCAGAGCTAAGTGTCTGACTTATATTTATCTGTAACATGGAAGAGCCACACATACCTGGCACTCCAGGAGTGGACTGAATAGTGACTCTTTAGCCCACAAATGAAAATCACTGACCTCCACATCATCAAATACTTTAAAAAGAGGCAGCAAAAGAACAGAACTATCCTGTCAGAGTTTAGTTATTACCATGAATCATATTTTTTATGACAGGAATACCAGGATTACTTTCCTGCTTCTTTGCCTAATTTTTGGATTCTCTTTTAAAGGAATCCTTTAGGTGTATTAAATGACTGAATGGGCTAGCCATACTTATGTAAGACTGTACAGGGTTTGACTACAGGAGAAAATCTTAGGAACCATTTCTCAAGAGCCTGAAATTTTCCCCAAAAAAAATCTCTTAAGATCAATGAAAAGGCATTTTCCCCCCCTTAAAGAAAAATGTAGGTACATCAAAATCTTTCAAGGATGGAAAAATATGAAGATTTTCTCAGGTTCTATTATTACCTCACCTTACTTCAGAATTGTTTACAGAGAAAAAGATATTAAGCAGGGCCAGTAAGGAAAACCTCAAAACATGCTGACACACAGTAAGGTGTGGCATCAAATTAAAGCTAGAAAGCAGATATTCTGCACCATTTTGTCTAATGCAGAGTCATCTTTTCTTTAGTAAAAATTAAAACAAGCAGTAATAAAGAGGCTTGAGCCTTTGCTGGGCTAAAAAGAAGCCCTTGTGCTAACTCGAGTCTCTATCATGGGTCAGGTCCAACCATCTTTCAAAGAAGTCACTTTCCTAGTGAGTTTTGCGTCAGATATGGAGCAGGTATGGGAGAGGAAGAAGGCTATCAAAGCTTTATCAAACAGGAGGAAAAGGGTCTTACGGGACATTTAGAAAAAAGTCAACAATAATGAATCACAGATTGTGCCACATACTCTAGGGATATGTAAAACCCATGCAAGAATAGTTAAGCCCTACAGAGAGGCAGCTGTTGAGAAGGGCAGCAGTCTGGCATGACATTTCCTTGGAGATCCTAGGAAGCAGAGATAGAATCTCCATCCAATAAGGATCCTGAGTGTGTGCTATTCATTCATTTTAGGAAAAAAGCTGTATGATCCTTTCCTCAACTCTCCTAAGCAGATCTTGATGAGTGCCCATATGCTGAGAGGGTACATCGAGTTGGGGTTAGGAGGTTCCAATGATCTTATTCTCACATATATGTGCATATATTTTTTTCTTAAAATAAATTCCATGATTTCATAAAGCTCTCATCTGCAATCAAATGCAAAAGCAGAGCATCCTACTTAGAGGCTCTGGAACACACATATCAATCAGCCTCAAAGCAAATTGGCCTTCCAGTCTCAGGTTAAGACTGGCTCAGTCCAGAAAGGTAAGGGAGACGCTTCTCTGGAATCCTGGGAGGCAGGAAGGTGTCCCTCAGATAGGTTTGTACAGCAGAGTTGTGACATACTTCTTCTTGTAGCGATGAGTTGCACTAAGAACCATGACGCTGTCCTGCAAGGGAAAGAGACAAATGCAGCTAATTCTTTCATACAGGCTCTTCACAGTCATTCATTTTAAACAGAGACAGTTTGATATAATAGAAAATGTTGACTTTTGAAGTCAAATAGGCTTGAGTTACAATTCTGACTCCAATCACAATACTGTATTTGTTGACTTAGGTAATCTTAACTACTCTAAGTCTTCTCCCCTCTCCCTCCATATCAAGGATAGCAACTACCATTAACATGGCTTTAATGATGAAATCAAAATATCTGGCACAGTATCTGATACAGAAAAGCCCAAATTCTCATGCTAATCTTAAAACCAGCAATCAATCAATCAAAGAAAAACAAAATGAAGAAATACGTCAACATTCATTTGTAAAAGGAAGTCTTAAATACTGTAAAAACAGCAACACAGAGAAGTGATCCTTTTGTAAAACCATTTTTTACTTCTAAACCAGATCTAATTCCTACTACTATTAGGAAGGAATTAAAAATGCTCTCTCTGATTTAGAGAATACTCAGGAAGCCCATTTTAGATCCCAACCCCCCCTAGAAAGACACTCAACCCAGTGAGTGAATAAATTTCAAAGAGCCTGAACATTAGAAGAGAAGCAGAAATGGGTTGAGATCAAGCTGAACTACAAAGATCAAGATCCCTGCCAAGATTAGAACCTGTATGAAGAAAGAAAGAAGGCCATTCCCTGGGCTTATGTTCCATATGAGGGATGTCCCACAGGAGCAGACAGGAGGCTCACGGACATCAATGTACAGCCAAAGAGTAGCCACAGCAGGTAAAACTCAATCAGAGCACAAAGAAAACATGCTAATCCGATTTAGAAAACAATGTATCCTGCCATCTTCTCCCACACTAATTATCCACAAGGAATGTTTCTCGGGTGAACATCCTGTAACAAGGATATGGCTGATCACAGTCGAAATATTACAGAAGGAAGGCAGGTTAAAAAAAAAAAAAAGCAAAAAACTCAACTTCAAGAAGAGTTTAGTAGAAACAAGGAGCACCTGAGAGAAAGAAAGAACTACTTGGAATGAACTGGCACAAAGGCAGGTAGGAAAGAGTATGGATGAAAGGGCATGGGTTAGGGTAAGAGGGCTGGACCTCAGTCCTGTATCTGGTACTTACTGGCAATTTGGCCTTCTCTGAGCCTTAGTTTCTTTATCTATAAAACAGGAGTTAAAAATAATACTTCACAAAGTTATAAAAATTAAATCCAATAATAGTTTAAAAGTACCATATAACCTGCACATCAATGAACTGCATCAATGAATTCCCTAATCTGCCCGTACCTCTCAGAAATAGAAATAATTTAAAAACAGATTACTGAGGCTCATCTATGTGTTAGGTTCTGTTGAGTCTATTCCAACTCATAGCAACCTCACATGATTTAAGAGTAAAACTGTTCCACTGGGTTTTCATGCCTGTAATCTGTTTGGGGGCAGATTGTTAGGTCTTTCTCCCAGGGAGCCACAGAGCGGGTTCAGAACTGACAATGTTTTAATTAGCAGCCAAGCACTTAACCAATCCACAATCAGGGCTGCCCATGTCCCATCGTAGAGGAATCTATCTGGAATCTCCGGATATAGAACCTCTGAATCTGTAGGTTTACAAACCTCTCTGCAGGTGATTCCATTAATGATCAGACTTGTCTGATCACTGACAGCCAAATCATCAAGACATGACAAGAGAGAGCAGCATGAGTATTTTCAACCCAAACTCTAAAGCAGCACAGAAGCCAGTGGACTCCAGAGCTGGAGGAGATAAGATTAAATGTGGTCACACTTCAGCTTTACCTAGTGTAGAGGATAGATAGAAGCACTTGAATATATATACTTCAGGGATCTGGAAGTAATTCATGTTCACCTTGAAGAAAGTGGAAGCATTCTCATTCACATTCTCTGAACCTAATGCTAAAACGGCTTTTTCTACAGATGTGATGTGAATAATATATTCCCAGGCCTCTCACCTTCAAGAATGAAATCCTACTACTATGAACTCAAACTCTAGTAAGTACTTGGTACAAAGTTACTAGTCACCTAAAAAGAAGCTGCCAAGCTAAAAAGGACTTTCAATCACAAGGCAACTAAAAGGTATAGAGATTGATAATGAGACTGCAATTGAAATGAATATTCAAAAACCAATTCTCATTAGTTAAAAAAAAATGTTTTCCTCCTAATACGTCATCATTACTGCCAGCTCCCACTTAAGTGAAGCAGGAGAGTAAGTAACCACTGGAGAACATGTGTGGCCCTTGACCTGTGCAGACCCAGGCCCATCACTTACCTTAATGGACAGTGCATAGAGATGGTTCAGCATAACATGATTGGGCTCAGGAAGCAAAGCTGGGTCACACTAAGAGGGAAAAAAAATTACTGAACTGAGTTAAATGTCTTAAACTAAAGAGTTAACTCTTCTTCAGAACTCTCTGGAATTAGTCAGAAACTGTGAATTTGTTTTCTCATTTTAAATGACGCATTAATTTCCATCTTAATTTATACCAATAATACATTCTCATTCTAGAGTTTTAAGGCAGAAATCCTATGCCTCAAAATATATTCATCTCCTTTGATAAGGTTACAATAAAATCTTTCTCATGATATACAGAAGGAAGATGTTTCAAGGTGAAAATTAATCTCAGTGGAATCAACTACTGGAATGATCAGAGATACAAATTATGTGCAGCTGAAAGGAATAAAAACTGTATTTCTGTTGTAAATCTTCAAATGATAAGTATTTCTTCAATTGTGTTGAAATAGAAGCCCCAGAAATTGATTCTAGCAATCCATAGTCCTAGGTCTGATTTTATATCAATAATAAAGATATTTTCAGTTTTAGTATCAGTACTTAAGGAAGCCACAACATAGCCCTAGAATAATAAATCTATATAGATAATGTTGTTGTAATAATATATACTTTCATACATTACATATGTGAAACTTACATAATTTATACTTTGATCACAACTTTGTTCCAACCTCTGAGATGACTTGACTTTGACCCAAATTGTCCTGGTTACTCCTAGATACTGTAGAGATGGTAGTTGTATACTCACAGAAATGTTAGTGTCCTTGTTAAGAATAACCTGGAGAAGGTGTGGAGGAAGGATGGGTGGAGATTTGAATCTCTCCTCAGACCGAAACACATACATTTCTTGACCATAAGGCCCCGGGGGTGAGCTGGAAAGGTCTGCAAGATATTGATCCAGATATGAGGAAAAGTTGGGAGAATTAGCAAATAGAGTAGAAAAAGCTGTCAACACATGGCAACCAATATTAAATATAAGGTGCCCTGTTGGCACAATGCTTAAACACTGCTAACTGAAAGGCTGGCAGTTCAAACCCATCAAATGGTTAGAAACTTCTAGCCACAAAAAGATGTTGGCAGTCTAATGCTACTTACAGCCATGAAAACTGTATAGGACAGGGCTATTCTGTTCTACTTGGTAGCTGAATAGGAACCAATTTAATGCCAATGGATTTGATTATGTGTGGTAGTGCTGATTGCCATCAAGTGGAGAACGACTCATAGCGACCTTATGAACAAAAGGCCTGAAGCCTTTCTCTAACTATCATCATTTATAAAAGTTCATAGTTTCCAGAGGCACATTGTTTAGGAAGTGGATGCAACTCAAAAATAATTGTAATCACATAAATTTCAGTTACACATATATACAACAAAAGAAAAAGAGGACTCATGTAGGGATATTTAGCATATCTTAATAACAACAAAACAAAATTAGAAAGGCCAAATGAGTTGCCCAAAGTTACATATGTTGTTGTTGTTGTTATATGCCGTTGAGGCACTTGCGACTCATAGCGACCCTATATACAACAGCCCTAAACCCTGCTCTATTCTGTGCCAATCACAATGCCTCTGACACACCCATCCCGATTACCCCAGTCACTGAATCAATCCACCTCATAGAGGGCCTTCCTCTCCTGCGCTGTCCCTCCACCCTCCCAAGCACGATGTCCCTCTCCAAGGACCTGTCCCTCCTTACAACATGCCCAAAGTATGTTAGACAGAGCCTCAGAATCTTTGCCTCCAGGGAGCCACCCGGTTTAACCCTTTCGAGGATGAATCTGTTTGTTTTCCTAGTTACATATATGGTTAAAAAAAGAACTGAATGTAGATTGTTCTTGTTAAAGTGCCATCAATCCGAGTACAACCCATAGGAACCCTATGAACAACAAATCTGAACCCTGTCCTATTCTGTGCCATTTTTATCATCCCCGAAACACTTAAGCCCATTGCCACAGTCACTATTATACCAGTTCACCTCACCAAGGATCTTCTTCTCTTTCACTGTCTCCCCACCTTTCAAGCATGATGCTCCTTTCCATGGAACAGCCTTTCCTAACAACATGCCTAAAGTACGTAAGATGAAGTTTCACCATCCTTGCCCATAAGGAGCATTCTAGTTGCACTTTCTCAAAACATAACAGTTTGGATTTTTAGCAGTCCATATTAAGTACTCTTCTCCAAGACCAAAATTCAAAGGCACCAGTTCTTCTACTGTCATCATTATTCATTTTCCAGCTCTCAAATGGATACCAGGTGACTAGAAAGATTATGACTTGAATCAGGCACACCTTAAGCCTTTAAATGGATATCACTGCTCTTCAGGACTTGGGAGAGTTCCTAGAAAGGAGACCTTTCCAATGCTGTATGTTTCCTTATCTCCTCACTGCTGGTACCAAGGGTGTTGATTGTGGGTCCAAGTAAGATGGAATCATTGATAATTTCAATCTTTTCTCCATCTTTCTTGACGTTGCCTATTGGTCCAGTGGAAAGGATTTTTGTTTTCTTGATGTTGTGATGTAATCCATACAGAAGGCTTTTTTTTTGTCTTTGACCTTCTGCAGCATCTCAAGTCCTTACTTTCATCAAGCAAGGCTGTAAATTAGAACTCATTATTTAAAGATTTCTAATAGAATTTATTCTAAGTCTCACTCCAGTGGATCAGATAACTAGATGAAACAGAGAAAAGAAAACTAACAAGAGAGGCACACAATTCTCTCTACAGTTACATGTCTATGACTCATTACTTGCTTTGCTACATTCATATCATGCAAATATTTCAAGTCATAAGTGAGCCTATTATTTCAGTATTTTAAAAATTATCTATCATTGCATAACACTGATACCAAAGCCAGGTAAAGATATCACTAAAAAAGAAAATTATAGGCCAATATTCCTCATGAACATAGATGAAAAAAAATTCCCAACAAAATCCTAGACAATAGAATCCAACATCATATAAAAAAAAAATCACTGATCATGATCAAATAGGATTCATATCAAGTATGCAAGGATAGTTCAACATAAGAAAAAGAGTTTAATCCACCACATAAATAAAAAACATACATAATCTTATCAATGGACTCAGAAAAGGAATTTGGCAAACTATAACCCCCATTTCTGATAGAAAAACATTAAAAAAATAGGAACCATGGAGAAATTCCTTAACACAATTAAAAGCACAAACATTATTCTCTATATAAAATTGTGGACATTATCCTTGGGAATGGGAACCAGATAAACCCAAAACAACTCAAACTAACTGCCAAAGAGTTGGAACTGACTCATAACTAATTCCACAGAGCGTTTTCCGGGGCTATAAATTGCATGAGAGGAGATTACACATCTTCATCTCAAGAAGGTGGTGGATGCGAACTGCCTACTTTTGGGTCAGCAGTGCAAGTGCTTACCTACTAGGCCATCAGAGCTCCCTAGAACCAGATAAAGTTGAACTTTATCAGCACTCCTATTCAATACTACACTGGAAGTCCCAGAGTAATAAGGCAATTCAATATGTACTTGAAGTCCCAGACAGAGCAATAAGGCAAGGAAAGGAAATAAGAAGAACTAAACTGGCAAAGAGGATGTAAACTATCTTTTTCAGCAAATGATATGATCTTCTATATACATAAAATGCCAGATTAAAAAAAAATTGTTTCGAATTTACTGATTCAGAAAAGTAGCAGGGTATAAGACAAACATCCACAAATCAGTTTGATTCTTTTACAGCAAAAGAAATTATGAAAAGGAAATGAAATGCGGGAAACAATACCATTTACAATTGTCCCCCAAAAGAGAAACTATTTAAGAATAAACCTAACCAGGCATATAAAAAACCTATACAATGAAAACTACAAAACACTACCAAAATCTACATATATGAAAAAACACACTATGCTTATGGATTGTTCATTGTTGTTATGTGCCGTCGAGTTGCTTGCGACTCATAGTGACCCTATGTACAACAGTTCTAAACTCTGCTCTGTCCTGTGCCAATCTCATTGTCTCTGACAAACTCATCCCGATTGCCCCAGTCACAGAATCAATCCACCTCCCAGAGGGCGTTCCCCTCTGCGCCTGCCCTCCACCCTCCCAAATATGATGTCCTTCTCCAAGGACCGGTCTCTCCTTACAGCATGACCAAAGTATGTCAGATGAGGCCTCAGAATCTTTGCCTCCAAGGAGCAGCCCAGTTTAACCCTCTCCAGGATTAATCTGTTTGTTTTCTTAGCAGTCCATGGTACGTACCCTCAGCACTCTTCTCCAACACCAAAGCTCAAAAGTATCACTTCTCCTTCTATCCTTCCTGGTCATTGTCCAGCTCTCTGATGCATAACAAGTGACTGCAAAGACCATGGCCTGTACCAGAAACATCTTAGTCTCCAGAGACACACCGTTGCTCTTTAGTACTTTAGGAAATTTAATGAAACAACATACGAGCAAGAGCCTATGGTGATGAAGGAAGAAGTCCAAGATGCTCTGAAAGAAATAGCAAAAAATAAGGCCCCAGGAATAGATGGTATACCAACTGACATATTTCAGCTAACAGACGTTGCCCTGGATGTGCTCAACAAGTTGTGTCAAGAAATCTTGAGAACAACCACTTGGCCAACTGACTGGAAGAGATCTATATTTGTTCCCATTCCAAAGGTGACCCAACAGAGTGTGGAAACTAGAGAACAATATCATTGATTTCATATGTAAGCAAGACTTTGCTGAAGCTTATCCAAAAATGAATGGAACAGCACATCAGCAGAGAACTGCCAGAAGTCCAGGCTGGGCTTAGAAGGGGTCGTGGTACTAGGGATACTGTAGCTAATTTAGATGGATCTTGGCTGAAAACAGGGAATACCAGAGGAATGTCTATCTGTGCTTCATTGATTATGCAAAGGTGTTTGACTGTGTGGACCAGAACAACTGTGGCTGACTCTGAGAAGAATGGGAATCCCAGAACACTTGATTGTGCTAATGTGAAACAGAGCAAGGAAACACTCCATGGTTCAAAATTGGGAAAGGCATACACCAGGGATATGTCCTGTCTCCATACCTTTTCAACCTGTATGCAGAACAGATCATCCGGGAGGCTGGGCTCTATGAGGAGATATGCAGCATCAGGACTGGTGGAAGATCTAACAACAATCTGCGTTATGCAGATGACACAAGCCTGCTTGCTAACACTGAGGAGGACCTGAAGTGCTTGCTGCTGAGGGTCAGGGACTGAGAGGAATTGAGTTCTGACTCTAGTCGTAAGAAGCTGTGCTACAATCCCAAAGGCACACAGTTTGAATCCACCAACTGCTCCATGGAAGAAGGATGGCAATCTCCTCCCGTGTGATTTACTGCCCCTGAAAACCCTCTCAAGGGTCAGCTATAAGTAGTTTCCAACTTGATAGCATGCAACATCAACAGGCTAAGAGGACAGGAAAACTTCAAAGTGGGGCTTGAGAAGACAAAATGAAGTACTATAAATGCAATGTGGAAAGACATATATTTGGAAAATTAAAAGAGAAGATTTGGTCTGCATTTCTCAAATTGAAAGAATTTTTTAAACAGTTCAAACACTGAGTTGCAAATCTTAAGGATTCTCTGGGCTAACTACTGAAAGAAGCATGGAATCATCAAAAGAAGATGGTAGGAATACAGTGTCACTGTACCTAAAATAATTGGTCATTTATCCATGTCAGAAGGTAGCATATGATTAAAAGCCAACAGTACTGAAAAACGAGACAGCCTGCATTGAAGGAGTGGGCAAAAGACAAGCTCCAAGAACTAACTGAAAACCAACTGAAATATTTCAAGAAAGAGTAGGAGAGTTCAGTCTTCTACGTTAAGAAATTTGGAAGACAATTATTTGGCAAACCAACTAGTTGTTATTCCCATTGAAAGGTGATTAAACACAATGTAGAAATTACCAAACAATGTCATACTTAAAGAAAGTCTTCCTGACGAAAACATAAAAATGGTTACAATAGTAACTGCCAGAAATTCAAGCTGGATTCAGAAGAGACCATGGAAAAATGTTATCATTGGACGCATTTGATATATTTTGGCTAAAACAGAGACTACCAAAAGATGTTTACCTGTGTTTCACTGACTATGCAAGAACATTTGATTTGTGTGGATCATAGAAAATTATGATTAACACTGTAAAAAAAGAATGAGAATTCTAGAACACTTAATTGTACTCACGTGAATCTATACCTATATAAAGAGAAAACTGTTCAAACAGAATAAGATGATACTGTGTAGTTTAAAATGAGGAATGGTATGTGCCAGGGTTGTACCCTTTAACCATACTTAATCAATCTGCATGCTCTGCAAATAATCCAAAAAGCTGTACTAAATTAAAAACAGGGCAAACAGTTTGGAAGAAGGTTCACTAACAACCTATGATAGCACTTACTGATAATCAAAGACTACACAGCTTCAGTATGGATTAAACCTCAACATGGAGACAGAAGGAAAAAAAAATCTTCACAACTGGACCAAAAAAGCAACATCATTATAAATGCAGAAAAGATTCAAGTTGTAAAAGATTACATATTTACTAGAATCTACAGCTATTGCCCATGGAAGCAGCACTCAAGAAATCAGATGTATTGCACAGAGAGAATCTGCTGCAGAAGACCTCTTTTCACAGTAAAGATTTGACTTTGTGGGCTAAGATGCCCATGACTCACGTCATGGTTTCAATTTCCTCACACATAGCAATGCTGAACAATGAATAAGAAAGCCTTCAGATGAATCAATTAATTTGATTACTATAGTGATGAATTCTTCTCTGTTCCCAATTTCTGAATTCCAGTCATCCATTATTATCAATGCATCTTGATTGCATGTTTCATCAATCTCCGACTGTAAAAGTTGGTAGAAATCTTCTATTTCCTCTTCCTTGGCTCTGGTTGTTGGTGCATATATCTGAATGACAGTGGTATTCACTGAACTTCCTTGTGTGCGTATGGATACTATCCTGTCACTCTAGATGGATCTATAAAGGACTTTTTTAACTATGAAAGCAACCCCATTTTTCCTCACCTTTTCATCTCCAGAGAAATATATCATATGATCATCTGACTCAAAATTCCCCATGCCAGTCCATCTCATCTCTCCAATGCCTAGTATGTCAATATTTATGTGTTCCATTTCTTCCTTAACAGTATCTAATTTTCCTACATTCATGGTTCTCACATTCAATGTTCCAATCACTAGTGTCTGCTTACAACTGTTCCTCTTCCTTTGCATTACCATACTTGTAAGCTCCACCTCAGTTGCCCTTTCTGTTAGTCTATGTTGGTTCTTTTGTACATAGGGTTTTCAGAGGCCTGCTATTTCAGAAGTGGATGGCAAATCCTTCTGTCTGTCTTAATCTTAATGTTCAGATTTACAGAAGTATCCAACAGGCAAGCATTTTACAGAAAAAGTGACAGATATATCCCTTATTGTGAAATTAACTATTGCGTTCAGTGTTGTCCCTGCCCTTGTCAAAAGTGTCTTGACCCACTTATTTCCCTGCTCCACCATTCATCAAGATACCCATCCACTTCTACCCACTCCTTTCAACATCTATATCCCATTGTCCAGGACTTGATCTGATAGCTTATATCTGAAGCTTCCTTGGCTTCTGTGATTCCAAACATGTTAGCTGCTGACTGGAAAAGATCTATACTTGTTCCCATTCCAAAGAAGGATGACCCAACAGAACATGGAAACTATAGAACAATATCATTGATTTCACATGCAAGCAAGATTCTACTGAAGATTATCCAAAAACGACTGGAACCACATCAACAGAGAACTACCGGAAGTCCAGGCTAGGTTTAGAAGGGGTCGTGGTACTAAGGATATTGTCGCTAATGTTAGATGGATCTTGGCTGAAAGCAGGGAGGACCAGAGGAATGTCTATCTGTGCTTCATTGATTATGCAAAGATATTTGCCTGTGTGGATCATAAGAAACTGTGGCTGACTCTGAGAAGAATGGGAATCCCAGAACACTTGATTGTGTTTGTGCGAAACCTATACTCGGACTAAGGGGCAGTCATCAGAACAGTGCAGGGTAACACTGCATGGTTCAAAATTGGGAAGGGCATACACCAAGGATGTGTCCTGTCTCCAATACCTTTCAACCTGTATGCAGAACAGATGATCTGGGAGGCTGGGCTCTATGAGGAGAAATGCAGCATCAGGATTGATGGAAGATCTCTCAACAATCTGTGTTATGCAGATGACACAACCCTGCTTGCTGAAACTGAGGAGGACTTGAGCACTTGTTGCAGAGAGTCAAGGACTACAGCCTTCAATATGGATTGAGGCTCAATGTCAAGAAGACCAAGATTCTCACCACTGGACCAATTGGCAGCATCACGATGGATGGTAAAGAGATTGAGATTGTTCACAGCTTTAGTTTGCTTGGCTCCACAGTCAACACTCTTGGCACCAGCAGCCAGGAAA